CTGTGGATAATTACGGGTTTCTTGCTCGCTTATTAGCGCCGGGCTGTAATTATTTGTGATGCAGGTGATTCGCAGCGTGGATCATGTGGTGCTGAGTGGGTCAGAGGAGCACAGGGATACCGAGATCACAATTAGGATTTTCAAGCGTGTTTTCCAGGGCTGCCCTGATCCCAACACGTGGGTTTGCTCCGTGTTCTGCAGGAGCACAGCACGGTGCAGGCATGCTGATGGCACAGAGAACGGCTCTCTCTGCAGCTCTACTGTGACCCCAGGTTGTCTGGGTGCCACCGACTGCATGGCAGGGCTGCAGCTCTCCAGGAAACGTGGGGAAAGCAAATCCTAACGGGGTGCTGCAGATTGCCCTCCCCACTCCCTGCCCAGTGCTGCCAGGAGCCTGGTGGCACTTGTGTCCCCATACAGCCACCCCATATGGTGGCACTGGTGGAGGCAGAGAGCCCAGCCTGCATGGGACGATGCATACAGGGGATTTTTGGGGCTCCTCCTCTTGTTGGGGTGGGCAGTGCTGCCTCAGTGGCTGCCCATCAGCGTGGCATTGAGCTTGCAGGACTTTCTCACACCCTCTATCTGCAGCATCAAAGCTGGTTTGAAGCCTTATCTTCTTTCCCTGCACCCGGTGGGTGAGGCAGGCATCCCATGAACCCCAACCAAAGTGCTTTGGGGGAGCTTCCATGGAGCCGGACAGCGTGGTGTGGGGTGAGCTCAGAGCTGCTCCAGCCCATCCCAGGCCCAGAAACTGACCTCATCCCACAGCCCACGGGAGTTTCGCTGCCTGTGGGACCACATCACTCTGCTTCTTCTGGCTTCCATCAGTGCCCAAAGAGGAGCTTTAACATCTCAAGGCATCAAAATCCTCAGCATCCCGGAGCGCCCCGAGGAGCCCCATGGCTGCAGGAACACGGATGGGTGCTGCAGGAGCGGCTGCAGGAGGAAGGATCCTCCCTTTATGGGGAGGAAACACAGTGAGGAAGAAGTGATGCTGAGAGCTCGTAATTCCCTTTGCACGGCAATATCTGGAGTCGGGGCATCCTTCCCTGCAGTGCTGCTGCTGGCTGCGTGCTGCTGGGAGACACAAGGGTGCTGGCTGCACGGCCAGCCCCTGCTGCATCCCAAAAGGCACCCAAGCCCCAAACAGCTCTGTGCGCACACAGCAGCTCAGCCGCCCAGCTCCATCCCACCACTGTCTGCAGGAACTTCATTCCCAACCTAAAAGAGAACCAAACGAGGCCAACACCAACAGCACTCCAACACCCCACCCAGAAAAACCTTTGGGCTCCTCGAGGGTGAAATGTGAGCCGGAGCCATTAGCAATCAGCAGTGCTTTCCGTGCCAATTAGCGCAGCCTGTGGGTGCTGCAGCAGGGCTGGCACCCGGCATGCAGGCGCCTGCTGGAGCACTCCCTGCAAACTCCATTTCCAATGGGTGCCATATTGGAGCAGAGAAGTGCTCTTCTGCTCACACTTCGCAGTGCTGGAGCATCTTGCTTTCTGCTTTGCATCCTCATGGCTGCATCCACATGGCTGCATTCACATCCCACCCCTGTGCACCATGGATGCGCACACTGTGTGCCTCCAGCTGCCAGCACCCGCTTGGCACTGCCCCCAGTTAGCAACCACATGGCTGTGCTTCATTCTTCCAGCTCTCAAACATGCCGCCTGGTGCCCAGCATCAACCTCAAGCTGGTCAGCCAGAGGGCAACATGAGCGTGCTGGTTATTAGTGACCGCCCGTGAGCGCTAATTGATTTGCCTGGTTAGAAAGAAAAGATGCCTTCCAACTCTAATAAGGATTCTACAATTGTTTTCTATGGTTCTATGAAAAGTCCAAACCTGCCTGCAAGGGGAAGGTTGACATCAACTCATCGAGGAGGGGAGAAATGATGAAAAGTTTTAAAGGGGAAAGTGGAATTATTTGGACAGGCGGATGCAGCTCAGGCTGAGCTCTATGGGGCAATTGGGGATGGGGAGCTCCTGGGGCTTCTTGCTCTACAAAAGGTTTTCCTCTCTCTCTCTCTCTCTACAGAGCACTGCTGTGGGTCGGGAGAGGACAGGGTGAAAAATGGAGCCCAGCAAGCCTCGACCTTTTCACTCCAGATTAAGGCAGCAGTGCCCTCGGGGAGCTCAGCCCAGCTCAGCCTTGTGTGGGCAGGTGTGCACTCAGCAAGCCCTCAGCTGCACCTCTGCATGGCTTCACCGAAGCACTGCTCCTCCAGGAGTCCCCATGATAACCATCCCAATGGTTTCCAGCTGTTACAGCTCCGAGGGATGCAGGACCCCCACAGGATGCTCCTTCCTGAGCCCTGATCCTGAGTAGGATCAAGCGTAGCCCCACATCTTCACACCGACTTGAGGGACGCCTTGGGGACAGCTGGGTGATGGTCCCTAAGGGCGCACAAACTTTGGGGCTGCTCATTTCCTCCTCGTCCTGCCCTGCCCTGGTTGCATGCACTGCGTGTCCCACCTCTCAAATGGGTCCCCATTGGACTGGTGGCCATCCGGTTTGCTGCTGGAGATGCTGGTGACCATGGGCTTGGTGGGGCGGGTTGGTAGTTGGACTGGATGACCTCAGTGCTCTTTCCAGCCTTACTGATTCAGTGATTCTATGGTTCTATAGAAACGTGCCCTCTGCCTGCCCCTGTCCCCAGGCAAGGTGCTCTCGCCTCCTTGTGATGATCTTCCAGGAGAAAACCAGGCAGACCTCTGCCCCCTGCACAGGACATGGAGCTCCATGAAGCCCCACTGCCCTGGGATCAGCCGTGCAAGAAACCCAGGCCATCCCTGCTGCAGCAGGCTGTGAGCTGTGGGTGGGAACACAAATTCCTCTCCCATCCCACACTGCTCTTGGCCTGGCTTCCCCGCTATTCCCTGGCTCATGTTTTGCACGCTGCGCGCTCACTGCTGGCTGCCCACGTTTCCCACTATAGGGTGGGGACATGAGGCCGTGCCCAGGAACCTGGAGCCCCACAGCTGCCAGACAGGCTCCGTCCCAACATGTCCTACATGCGGGGATCAGAGACCTCCCTGCTGCCAGGGCCACGCTGGCAGCCCTGGGGCACAGGGAAAGCACCCAGCAGACTTGTCTAGGCTTTGGCTAAAGCTGAGCATTGGAGGAGAAACCCACAGTGTGCCACACTGCCATCATCCCCAGTGGCGGTGGGACTCAGCACAACCTTGGCTGTGTGGTGTGGCACAAGCCCACGGCAGCGGGGAGACGAGGCGTTCAACTGGGACCCATTGCGTCAGGACTTGGATGGAGGTGGAACAAAGAAGGTGGCTTTGGTGGCTCCGGAGCTTGGATTCGGTTGTGCTGAAGCCGTTGTGTCCTCGTGCATCTGTTTGTGAATCGGGTTTCTGAGGAATGCAAAATCCCCCCTGCTGCAGTGCTTTGCCAAGGACCACCTTATTTCACGTGTCTGGGTCAGGCTCATTCCTCCTCTTGCAGCACATCACAAAGAACGCTGCCCTTCCTTGCATCCAGGCCTCGTCTTGTCCCCCCAGGACAATTGCCAACGCTATGGCATGGAGCGCTTCCTTCCCATCCCGGAGCTCCCCTTCACTTTTCCATTAGGAATTTCATATCACAGGCTCAATCCTCCAAGTCAAAGCAGCAAACACATCGTGGCACTGAGGGACGGCGATCAGTGGGCACAGCGAGGACGGGTTGGGGTTGGACTCTATGATTGTAAGGCCAAAGAGAAACCAAACGTACCCACCAACGCCCTGCCACGCTGGGCTCTCCCTGCCCCAAAAGGCCCCACTGCTGGGCACCAGCAGATCCCAGTGGCTCCCCTTTGGCAGCCCTGAGCTGGTGGGGCGGCGGTGAGGTGGAAAGCAGCAGCTGCAGCCCCCCAAGCACGGAGATGCTGGGAAGTGCTGTGCAATAACCCTCTTCATCAACATGCTGCTCCTCTCGCCGCTCGTTACAGGGAAGCTAAAAATAGAGCGGTGAGCCAGCATTCGTTCTGCACACAGAGATTGAAAGAAAACTTTGGGTTTCGCTCGCGTGGAGGAGAGAGCCCAAATGTTCTCATGTCTGTGAGGCTGCCATAAATAGCAGTCAGCCTCCAGAAGGGCCCATGGGGAGACGTGTGGGGCAGGCGGCGCGGGTGGCTCGTGCTGGCCGTGTGGCAATGGATGCCCATCAGCTGCAGTTGCTGTTGGGAATGCTGCTGGAAATGCTGCTGATGCCCTTTAGCTGCATCTTGGGGGTGAAATCTCTGCAGAGCAAAAAGGGAAAAGATGGTGGGAGCCTCACACGCTGCCCCCGAGCATCCATGAACGGAGGGGTGCGAAGGATCTTGGTATCAACAGAAGCCGTGCTACCAGCATGGCTTTGGGTTTGCACATCGTGTGTTCCTTTCTATTCTCTTAAAAAAAGAAAAACAAACAACAGAACCACCCTGATTTAATGCTACCTTCAGAGCTAGCAGATTTTCAGGGCTGATCAGCGGAGCTGGGATTACAACCACCAGCTCCCAGGTGGACGTGCCCTGCTCTCCTGTCCCGCCTGCTGATTTCCTTCACGAGGTGTGAAACTGCTTGCAAAAGCAAAAGTATTTTCTTTTCCCACTTTGGGAAGCCATGACAGCTTGTGACCCGGGGCTCCCACCATCTGCCACACACGTTGCCCACTTGGTGACACCTCCATGCGTTCGGCAGCTTGGAGAAAACCCCGCTGGGAAGCTCTGCAGCCAGCAGGATATGCTGCTGATTTCTCCTTTCTCCTTCCACAGATGGAGGGGACGGTGCCATGGCTGCCTCCTGCTCCACAGGCCAGTTTCCTATGGTACATTCTTGGGCACTGCTCCATTCTCTGTCTCCTTAGGGAGAGACATGCAGGACAAATGGCAACAAGTCCCTTCCAAGTGCCTTCAGACAGTGGTGTGGGTGGTGTCAGGATGCTCTCATTGCTAGCCAGCCCCCAGCACTGAGCCATGTGCCCTTTAATGAGAACTCACTAAAGCATGAGTGGATTGGCAGTTAATTGCTGGGGAGAGCGCAGGCAGTGGGGCTCTTTCATCCTTGGACAGAGGAGTGGCACTTTGAAACCTCTTCTGTTTGATGAAGGGTGCCCACAGGAGGGCTCTGCTCGGGGCACACAGAAATGGCACAGTGGGGCACAGGGGTTGGGAAGCTGCACGGTAACAGTGTGGAAAGACCTGGGAGCAGCAGGTGGGGAGAAGGGCAGAGCGTCAGCAGAGCTGTGCTCCCTGCTGCTCCTTCTTCTGCTCAGCGCATCCCTCAGTGCTCCTCACTGAGCTCTGCCAAAGCATTTCACTCCACAGCACTATTCCTAGCCCAGACCTCAGGACAAAACCCATCTGTTCCCAGCAGTCCTCGACGTTCCCGTCCAGCACACTCAGCTGCTGTGGGTGAGATGTCCCCAAAGTAGGCTGCAATGGGACGACTGCTGTCAGCAGGATGCAGTGCAACGTGCAGCATTGATGAGACAGCGCCGGTCAGCACGGCTGCCAGCAGAGCACACAGATTTGCGAGCTGAAAAGCCTCGGGGAGGCTGAAAACAAAAAGAAAGCAAAGAGCTCGCATAGGAAATCATCTTCCAACTTTTGCATCTTCTCCCTCCAGCCCTGATCCTCCTCTGGCAGCTCTGCTCTGCCAACGCATTGCGTGACAACGCTCGGCCTGGAGATGGAGCAGGCTGGACTCCAAACATCACCCAGGGAAAAAATAAAAAAAGCCGGAAATAACCACGTTAGACGATGAGGACGGCGGTGTCTTCAGGCAGTGCGAGCAAAGCGCTGTGCTTTGGAGGAGCAGCACAGCCCCGAAGCCCAGCCGGCTCTCCCTGCGCAGCCGCTCCGCTCACCGGGGCCGCGTTCCTCCGCACTAAGGATCGGGAGATTTCTCCAAGGTCCCGGACGCCACTCGGCTTTCTATAGGGTTTGTCCTTCGCTGCATCCCCTGCCGTATTCCTGCAGCACTCCTGCCCATCTCCAGCCCTGCTGCTCCCTGGTGGGGGGGGGACACGCGGCTCCCGGTGCCTTCGGACGCAACACCGCCGCCCCTGGGGGAGACCGATGGTGTCGGTTCATAGGCCCCCCCCCCCCCAGCAGCTCACCCCCGTTTGGTTTGCTTTGGTGCTTGGTTCAGTTTCTACACCTTTCAGAATCCCTTTGTGGCAAAGGGGAGAAGAAGAGAAAGAGGAATTTCTGTCTTCTCATTCCCCCCCCCTCCCCAAATTGTAACCGATTCTGGGCAGGTGGCCAAAGAGTAATAAAAATCTGTTCTGTTTGGAAACAGCTGAGAAACGTATAAATGACGGCAGCTCGGTGCTGCAGGAGCTGCAAATCAAGCAGGCTGTGCGTTCCAGGGTTCGTTAACATCTGATGGGGATAACGGGAGGTTTATAGCACTTAATTGAATTAAATACACTACATCCCGATTTGGGGTTATAAAACTTGCAGTCACGGGGCGCAATTAAACACCTTCCTGGTGCTGCCAGTGCGTTTTTCTCTACAAAATTAAGCATGAAAGGTAGGCTTGCTCTGCATCACAGCGTGTCAATCCTTGCAATGAATCCCCACAGCGCTGTGAGATGAGGGCTTTGCACTTTGCTGCTTTTGTGGGGTGCAGAATGAGGTCTGAATTCGGGGAGCATCTCAGGCAGCCAGCAGCTGCAATGCAAAAGGATGGAGTTTCGAACTGCAGCAGGGGAAAAAGTCCTCATTAGCAGATTGGAAACGTGTTGAGCCCTCCTGAGAGCTCAGTGAGTGCAAGGAGCAGGAGGGGGAAGTAGTGCCAACCTCAGCCTGAGTGCCTGGAAAGCTCCCATCACCATGCATACATGTGGCACATCAGCACCCATGGGAGAGCTTGGTTACCCCCCTCCCCACTTTGTTTAGCTTTGCAAAATCCCATGGGCAAAAGGGAATGGTGGGGACTCTTTCCCAGTTTGCCCAGTTTGCCATGGGAAGCACCCAGCTGGCTCACAGCTCCAAGAAACCCACAGCTGTGCGGAGCGTATGACAGCTGAGGGGCGCTTTGGGTGCTGTCCCCTCTCCTCTACATGAAAACATGACCACCCCAGGACAATGCCATGGCAATCCCAGCTGTAAGGAAGCAGAGGGGATGCTGCAGGGAATGCCTGCTGAAATCTGTCCCTGGGACACTTCCACCCCCTGCTGCCCAGCAAACAGCGCAGTGCTCGCTATCTCTCTGCACGCAGCCCACCTTGCCCTGCTGCAGCACTCAGCCCTGACCTCAACAAAAGGTCTGGAAGACATTTGCGGAATGGCACAGTGCTGCTGGGGGTCAAGGGTGCCCTTTTCATTTCCCATCCACGCTGCAAACATACTGAGGCTGCAGGTAGTGCATTTGGATGGTGCTGGGTGGGAGGGGGAGCCCTGCAGCTTCACCATGCTGCACCCCATGGCACACAGCTCTCCAGCTCTTGGACAAGCTCCATCAGCCATAGAATCATTCCAGGTGGAAAAACTTTCTCAGATTCACAGCCCAGCACACCCCACCATGCCCATCACCACATCCCCACAGTTCTGAGCAACACCAGGTGACCCCACCACTCCCAGGGACAAGGGTGACCCCAGAGTTCCATCCCACCTGCTGAGCTGCAGCCTCAGAACCAACAGCATCTGCTCCCAGGGGTGGGCAGCAGTAACTCCCACTTCATGCTACTCATTTGTGCTCTGTATTGGGCTGTCCTGGTTACTGCTGGGCAGGTGTTGCCGGTCATACAGACGAGGTCATCTCTCAGACCCCAGCTGTAGCAGCTAACTGGGAACACAGAGGCTCCAGGTGTGCTTTGCCTTGCTGATTGGGCTGCCCTCGTGCCCCACGGGTGGTTCTAGGATGGAGCCCACGTGTCAGCAAGACCTGCTCACTCCAGTCTTGCAGGAGAGCTGCGCTCCAGGAGGTGCTGGAGCAAGAGCAGCATCTCACAGCACCTCTCTGCCTCAAGCTGAAATGAGATATGGAGACGTGCCGTGCACCGAGGCACCAAATATCTCCTTCTGTCCACGGAACGTGTGAGCAGGGCAAAGCAAGGCATCTGCCTGCCCGCAGGGAAGGCCCCCAGCCGTGGTGATGGTGGGGAGCAGTTAGCTGGGATGAGAGGAGCAGCAAATGTCAGGTGGGGAATGACAGCATCAGGCTTCAGCTCCCGCGCCCGGATCTGAGGGTGCCCTGTCAGCGCCGACAGGCGGAGAGAGATGCAGAGATAACGTCCTCAGACACAAATGATGATGCCTGGAGAAACTTGTCCAAAACCCCCCGGGAAAGCTGTCGCTCTGGGCTTGTTTGGAGGTCCTTCAATAGGGACTGCAGTGCAATTACTGTTCTCACAGCAGAGCGCGAGGCAAACGAACCCGGTGTGGTTCAGCGCTGGGAAACTGCGTACAAATGAGATGAGCTGTCAAAAATAATGAAAGGAGAGGCAACCGAGAGAGAGAGGCCACCCGACCTGAGCAGAGCTGGGATCAGTGGGACGAGCTGAGGCCCATTGGCTCCTTCAGCCCTGCTCCCATAGGGTCCCCCATACGGGGGCTGCCGGCTCCAGCTCTGCCTTCACACCCCAGCTCCACTCCCGGCTCCTTCCCTCCGCCATTTGCATACCGTGCATATTCATGAGGGATGGAGCTAATTAAAGATTCATGCACGCAGCCCTCGCACTTGCAGTTAATTGGAATGCTGCAGTATTCCTCACATTCCCCCCCCCCCCCCCCCCCAAGCAAAGCCAGGAGAGCTGCTATGGGATGCACAGGGTGTGGGCGCCCCTGTGGGTACAGCGCACCCAGGGAGAGCTGATCCTGCAACAGCTGTGGGGTGCAAGCCAAAGCAAGCTTGGTTACAGCACGATAACGCTGCTCTTGGGGGCGTTTGGGCACTTCCAGCCTCGCTGCAGCTTATAAATACATATTTATTATTAATTTTATTCCGTCCCCGGTGCCGGGGTGCGCAGGATTAATCGCCGCCGCTCCGCGATAAAGGGTCTGGGAGCCAATCTTCAGCTTTGCCCGAGATTTATTCCCCTTTGAAAACAAATATCCTGACAGGGAGAGATTTCCTGGCACAGAGCAGCTCTGTTTAATTAGAGAGGTGATTCATGTTTTCAGTCAGGGTTTAATACCAAGCCCTTTATGGGCAGCAGTGCAGCAGGAGCCCGTAGGTCTGCTGGGCTCTGGAGAAGGAACCTGGGGCTGCTCCAGCCAAAGCAGTGCCACCCATTGGGGTCCTGTCCCACCAGGAGCAGCCATGGCTCCAACCCCGTGCTTGGCTGCGTCCCTTTGGGTGGTGAACATTGGTGTTGCGTGGCCCACACAGAGGAACAGCCAAGCTGCCCCAGCTCCAAATGCCATCATTGAAAAGCAAAGATTTGGCCACCGTTCTGCTTCAAAATGGGGTGGCAAGGTCCACCTGGGGGCAAACACCTGAGGAATAGGGACAGGAGCGTGGAATGGACCCAGTGCTTTGGCATGGGTGCAACAGGTGTGGGATCCCAGCCTTGCACTGCCACCGTCCGACCCCAAACTGAGCATCCCAAGGTGGGGAGCGATGCTGGGGGGCCCAGGGGAGCCCCACACGCTGACCTGCAGCATTCCCAGACACAAGCATCCAGCAGCTCCTGAGTGTCAGCACTGCGTTCTGACCGCCCCATCCTGGGCACCAGTTCAGGAATAACACAGACGCGGCCAAGGCCCATAAAATTAATTAGCTCTCACTTGAAATTAAGCATCTCAAATGGGTGTTTCATGAAGATTTAATTAAAAGCCGCCCTGGAACCAAGCTGGAGGGGTTGGGGCACAGGGAGCTGCCACCGCGTCCCCAGCTCTGCGATGTCCCCGTGTGGCACCGGAGGTGTCCCCAGAGAGCCCCGCGGGGGGCTCAGCAATGCATCCAAGCGCCTCCCATCCCACGGCCTCCCACCCTCCTCCTTTCTCGGCGGCTTCGGGGCGGACACGTGGAGCACACAGCGTGCAGCGCCACCTCCCAGCCCCACGGCCACGCTGAGCACGGGGGCTTTAAACCCAACAACGGCTCTGCAGCCGCGCGCCGAGACCCGAAGGGCGCCGTTCGGTCCGCACGACGCAGCAGCAAGTTCATCGCCATTACGCCAAACCCACAACCGTCCCCGGCTTCTGTCTCATCCGTAAACTTCTCTGGGGCGCTTTTCCTATTCCCACCGCATCCCAGCGCCGTGCCGAGCAGCTCTGCGCGCTCCCTGCCCGCTCCGCTCCGGGCTGCCGGATGCTCACCAATCTTTCCGTCCCAGCGAAGCGCCGCGGCGCCGGGGCCCTGCTGCCACCCAGCGGCTGCTGCAGGCACAGGTGTGGCAGTGCGCGCGCGTAGGTGTGGGCGCGCACACGTGCATGCAGCTGGGGGGGGCTGTGAGCGCGCCCGTGTCTGCATCTGTGTGTGTGCGCGCACTGCGCGTGCACGGGAGCCCGCGAGGGAGCACGGGCGTGGCTCCTGCGGGTGGGTGTGCAAGAGGTGCACGTGGCTGTGCACGCGGCGGTGCCGCGCAGGGTGCGCGTGCACGCGGCTGTCCCGGCCGCCCGCAAGGGCCGTGGCGAATCTCAGCGAAGCCGGCGCTCTGCACGTTGGTTTTGGCACCGACCGGGCGAGCGTTCGGCCCAATTAAACGAGTTTCCGCACTCAATTGAGCGTAATGCGACTTCGTACGTCTTAATAAAGCCCTGATCTCTGCGGTCACTGAACTGAGCGCGTCGGGGGGGGCGCGGTGAGAGCAGCACACAGCCGGGCGGAGCGGCACCGGTGCGAATTAGAGGCGGAATTAGGAGCCACCACCACGGCGGTGCCTTTCTGCCTTCTCGATACATCCAGCTTCCGATAGGAAGGGGAAGGAGCCACCCCCACCGCAGGGGCTTTGCGGGGATGGAGCTGCAGCAGGCAGAACCCGGGGGGACACGCGCACCTCCTGCTGGCCGTGTGGGTTTTCTCCCAAATGCCACCGCAGTGATGCTTCGGGCACCCACTGCGACTGCCTGAGCTGTGTGTGGCGCGGAGGAGCCCCACGGAGAGCAGAGGATGAGGAGGGGAAGTGCCACCGTGTGTCCCCACCGCCTGCTGTGCTGTGCTGGGGGCCTGGGAGGTGCAGCCCCAATGTGTCCCCACTGTGTCCCCAGCTTTAATCATGCACCCTGCCCCACGCATCCCCATCCCCATCATGTCCCCTGCATCACCCCATCCCCACTATGACTCACCATGTCCCCTCCTGCGGCCCCATAACATCTCCTCCATCATCCCATCCCCACCATAGAATCATAACATAGAATGGCTTGGGTTGAAAGGGACCCCAAGGATTATCGAGTTCCAACCCCCCGTGCCACAGGCAGGGCCACCAACCTCCTTCAACCACCATGTCCCCATCGTGTCCCCTGCACCATGCTCCCCATGTCCCTTCCATCATTCCCATCCCCCCCATGTCCCCTCCATCCTTTCCATCCCCACTGCCTCCACCACGTCCCCTCCTGCACCCCACCCACATCATTTCTCCACCATGTCCCACCCTGCGTCCCCACCATGCCCCTCCATCATTCCATCCCCTCCGTCACTTCCATCACCCCATCTTCCCCACATCCCACAGTGTACCACGCCCTGCCCCACATCCTGCCCCTTTGATGCCCCACACCAGCACATCCTCCGGCACATCCCACACACCCTGTTGGGTTCCTGCAACCCAGGGAAGGGACGTGGTGACATTCCTACAGCAGGCGGGAGGGTGGCACTGTGCACAGGGACTGGGAACGAAGGCCAGGAAAAAAAAAATAAGAAAGCTGATCATTTTGAATCATTTTGAGCTCGGGAAGAGGAGCAACCCCTGCAGGGCGAGTCGCCACCTCCTCTCCATCTCGGAGAAAAGCAATTAGCACGACGGCACAAAGCGTTTCTAATTGCAACCCGTGGACTTGACGAGCAGCCCGTGGCACACCCCAAGGAATCCATCCCCCATCCCGCAGCAGGGCCCCGCCGGGCACTCGGAGGGATTTGTTTGCTGGAGCGTTGCACAGCGCGGAAGGCACGCGCAGCATGCGGTGTGACTCACCGTTATGCAAGTGGCAGCTGTGGGGCTGGCAGCGAGCGGCCGTCCCCAGAGCCACCCGCTGTGGGGCAGCCATGGGGAAACACAGCTTGGGGGTCAGCGCTCTGCGATGGGGGGGGAGTAAAAAGGGGAGCCTGGGGCCCATGCAAAGGGCTGAGCGCCGGCGTTGCTGCCCCACACGCTGCCCCACACCGAGCGGCTCAGGGAAGCCCCGTCCCTGTGCACAGTCCGTGTCCCTTGGCACTTGGCTCCAGATCTTGGGGACACTGGGGTCAGAGCTGTGGTACCCGCACTGATGTCCTGCAGGAGCCGCAAGCACGGGGCGCCCTGATGACAGCAGGGACGTGGCAACAGGGGCTGCCACCCCTGTGTCCCACTGTGCCACACGCGTCCTCGCAGCCCACTGTCCCCTCTCCCTGCAGTGACATCGGGCAGCAGATGCACCGTGCCCGGCGGGTTGGAGAGGGGGCGGCACCGGGAAATGTCACAGCTGTGACAGCACCGGGTATTCTTAGCCTCACATCACAGCCCCGACACGGGGACAGCAGCTGGCACCCTCGGGGACAGGTGGCACATGGTGTCTGGCGGGTGTCAGTGCTGTGCCCTACCCCGCTGTGCCCACGGGATGGCAGCAGCCTCCATCACCCCCCTCCCACCCCCCCACCGGGCACCCACGGCCACTTGTGGGGCAGCACAAGGCCCCAGAGCAGAGCTGTGTGACAGATGCCCTCGGCAGCCTGATGCCACGGGTCCTTGTGGGGTGGAGAGTGCTTCATCCTCACGTGAAACCTCTTCCTCCTCTCCAAAAAGGGAACCAGGAGAGCTGATGGAGCGTTTCTGCCTTCCCCCAGGAGCACCCATTCTGTACCACCCTGCTCCGGGTGCCAGGTGCTGGGCGCTGGGTGCCAGCTGGGTTTTGACCCACGTTCTCTGCCTTTATCTCTGCTCACCACCCCCTGCATGTAGGATTGCCTCTCACTGCCTCCCCCTCCTGCCCACTCCCCATTCCCTCTCCCAGCACTGAGCATCCCACACTAACCACAGCCACTACTGGGACATTTCCCATTGGTTCCTTGCAGCTCACAGCTCGCTGCCCTTGCAGATGCTCCTGCCATGCTCCAAAATCACCTTTCCTCCCTCTGCCCGTTTCCCCTTGCCCAACCCTACAGCCCCAGGGTGCTCTGCCCTTCTGGGAGCTTCTCTTTCCCAAAATGCTCCTGGGCTTTGCCCTGAGCTTTGGGGGCGATGTCACAGCCACCCCAGGGGGCACAGAGTGTGGCTTTGGGTCCCAGTGAAGCCTTGGGGTGCCTATGGGTAACAGGTGCTCAGTGGGGCACCAACGGGACACCCAGGGGGGTTGATGTCACGGCCATCCCAGGAGGCACAGAGTGGGACCTCGGTACCAGCAGGGCAGCGGGTGCCTATGGGGCACTGAGTGCCAACAGAGCAGTGAGCACCAATGGGGCAGTAGGTGCTCAGTGGGGCAGTAGGTGCTCAGTGGGGCAGTAGGTGCTCAGTGGGGCACTGGGTGCCAGCAGAGCATTGGGCGCCAGTAGGGCAGCGTGTGCCCGTTGGAATCGGGTGCCAATGGAGCAATGAGTGCAGCGGGTGCAGCGGGGCGGCGTGGCAGGGCTGGGACCGGCAGCGTGCGCCGCAGGGGCGGTGGGCGCCGGGCGGATGACGGGGGGGGTGCCGGTACCCCCGGGGCTGAGCCAGCGGCGGGAGCCATCGGGACTGCGGGCTCGGTGCCAGCCGGCCCCTCGGAGGGAGCTCCGCAGCTCCGGGCGCTGCCATGGGGCGGTGCCGGGCTGCCCGCAGCGGGTGCCGGCGGGGCGGGCTCCCCGGGGTGGGGCGGCGGTGCGGGGCGGGGAGCGGGGCCGGGCGCTCGGGGCCGCCGTTCGCCGAAGCGGGAGCGGAACCGGAGCGGAGCCGGGAGGAGCGGGGCCGGGCGGCTGCGCGCGGCGCTCGGCCCCGGGATGTCCTCGTCGGCCGGCGAGCAGTGCCGCTCGCCCGTGGGGTTGGATTGCTGCAACTGCTGCCTGGACCTGGTGGGGGCCGGGGGGGGAGAGAACAACAACCCGGGCAGCCCCACCGCCAGCGGCTTCCGGCAGCTGCGGGAGCAGCTGGAGGGCGAGAACCTGAACGCCGCCAAGCTGAGCTCCATCATGCGCCAGGACTCGCTGGAGCCCGTCGTGCGGGACCCCTGCTACCTCCTCAACCAGGGCATCTGCAACAGGAACATCGACCAGACGCTGCTCTCCATCCTGCTGCTCTTCCACAGGTGGGTGCCCGCTGCTGCGGGGCCGCGCTCCGCTGCCGGCTGCGTGCCGCGCTCCCCGGATCCCGCGCTCGTCCCCGCCGTGCCCGGAGGGTCGGGGACACGGACGGCTGTCACTTGGGGTGGTGCCACCTGCAGCCCCCTACGGGTCGGTGGGACGTGGGGAGCCCCTCTCTGGAGCCGTTCCCCATCCCCCGCGCAGCCCCCATCGGGCGCTCCCGTCGGTGTCCCCAAAATAGCGCTGCATGAGGGCACATGGCCCCGCACGTGGCACCTGCATGACCTCTCCCCACGGCTCCCGCAGCCCTTGCATAACGCCGGGCAGACGCTCAGGTAGGAGAGGAGGAGCCGGGCTGCCCGCCAGAGCACCCTCTGCACGCCCCGTGGGGGGAAATGGGGGAGAGACGCCGAGGGTTCCCTGCGTGCGTAGTGTGATGCAGGGAGGGAGGGAGGGAGGGGACACGGGGGAGGGAGGTGACAATGTCCCCCCATGCGTGCTGGAGACCGAAGCTGTGCACCCACGAAAGCGGTGCCCGTGGTTACGGTGTGTCCGCTTTGGGCTCGGTGCCCCACGCCTCCCCAATCTGCCCCCTCCTCCTGCGTCCCTCCCCACAATGCCCACACCTGCAGCCGCTGTTGTTTTGCTCCAACCTGAACTTTCTCCTCCTGGGGAAATGCGTCAGGTGAGGCGGGAGGCGATAGTGGATGGGGTGAGGGCTGTGGTGCCAGGGAACACCCCGATAACGCAGCCCGTGGGGGTATGGCACTGCATCCCATGGGGGTATGGCACTGCATCCCGTGGGGGTATGGCACTGCATCCCGTGGGAGTATGGCACTGCAGCCCATGGGGGTATGGCACTGCATCCTGTGGGGGTATGGCACTGCATCCTATGGGGGTATGGCACTGCATCCTGTGGGGGTATGGCACTGCATCCCGTGGGGGTATGGCTCTGCTGGCTCTGCACTTGGTGGCCACGGTGGCCCATGGACACCTGCAGGAGGAGGCAGTTTGGATGATGGGTCCGTGTTCAGTGGGGACAGGCTCACAATGGGGGGGACTCACAAAGTCCACCCTGGGCACCCCCAGCCTGGTTTGGGGGGTTTCCCCCCCAGCTCTCTGCAGGGATGCAGGACGGATGCTCCGTGCTCTTGCCATAGGAACTCCCAAGGCTAAAACCAATCCCAACTCCTAACCCTAAACTCAACCCCCTAACAATGCTAACCCCTCACCTTAGCACTAAACCCCACCCTGAGACCAACTCCAGCCCTAACCCCAACCCTAAGACTAACCCCAAACTTACCCCTAACCCTAACCTCGACCCCAATGCTAATCCCAACCCCTCTCAGAGGGCAGGAGGTGGCATCTATGGCACAGTGCTGCTCATCCCAGTCCCTGCCGTGCAGAACCCAGAGGGGTGGCCCTGCAGAACGCATTCCTGCAGCGCGTGGGCTGCAGTGACAAGAGGCCTTTGAGCAGGGACAGCGGGTGGGCGTGGGGCTGCGAGCCGGGGCTGAACTGCGTGGGAGCCCCCCAAAAAAGGGGTCAGTGGGCTCTGAGCATCACGGCCCCACTGGTTGTGGGGCAGGGGAGCAGGAGGGCTGCGCTCGCCCCGTGGCCGTGCCCCGCCGATGAGCAGCAAGCTATATTTATCTGGGCTGCTGGCATGGGGACAGGAGTTTGTCACCCTCTGACTGAGGTTGTATTTAGACCTGGGGGGGTGGGGGGGTTGGGGGGGGCCAGGCAGGGGCCCCCCAGCACCGGTTTTGGGGTGTGATGCAGAATCCTGAAAGAGGTCCTGTGGAATCATGGAGGCGCTTGGGGTGGAGAAGACCCCAGAGGTCATCGACTCTCAATACCAAGCAGGCAGCTCCTGTGGGGCTGGCAGCCCAACCTCAGTCCTATGGGGCAGCAGCTCAGGGCAGAGTGAGGAGTAGGGTGAGGGAAAGGGAGAGGGATGGGGCTGGGGTTTAATGTTAGGAATGGGTGTAAGGGTTCAGGTGAGGGTTGGGATTAAGGTTAGATTTATGGTGAGGGTTGGAATTAGGTTTACAATTACAGTTGGGATCGGGATGAGGGTTGGAGTTAGGGCTGTGGTTCAGGGCCGGGGTTAGGATGAGAGTTGGGGTTAAGGTCAGGTCTGTGGCTGGGGTTAGGGTCAGTGTGGGGATTGGTCTTAGGGTTGGAGTTAGGGCTGGTTTAGGGCTCGGGTTAGGAGTTGGTGTTAGGGTTGGGGTTAGTTTTAGGGTTGGCTTTAGGGTTGGGATTGGGCTGAGAATTAGAGTTTGGATGGAGGTGTAGCACTGGGTTTCAGGCACCTCCTGAGGCCATCCCCAGGCGCTGGCACAGCGGTGCCCGGACCCATGGGGCACAGCAGCAGGGTGACAGCTGCACGCCCCGCACGGCCCCGTGCCCTCAGTGTTGTTATTGTTCTGAAATGTCACTGGGGGAGGGGAGGGGGGGAAGGAGAGGGAGCAGAGGGGGGGAGGCTGCAGCTCTGTGTCCCATTCCAAATGCCCGGCGTGCTTCCCAAAGGCCAGGTGGGGTATTAATAACCAGCCCCAAATCACCTGACCCAGCCTGACCTCGGGGCTCAGCCCCTGACCTGTGCTTCATCCGTCCGTCTGTCCGCTTTTGGGTCCTGTCAGAGATGCCAAGCCTGGATTGGGAAGGATGCTGTGTTTCCTGGGTTGTGGGGTGTCGCTGCATAGGGTGCCCACGCGCTGCTTCCCAACCCGTATCTTCTCCTTATCCTAACGAGCTGCTCTCCAATTAGCGAGCCGGCCGCTCCCGCACGCCTCCCATCCACGTGCTCTCCATCCCTGCATCCCCCAAACCGATGCTAGCAGGGCGCAGCGGGGCGGGGTGTGGGACGGGGTCCCGGTGACAAAGTTGGAAAGAAAAAGGAAAATCGCGGCTGTCAGCGGGGCTGCGCGCTCACACGCCAGCGAGCCGGGAACTGGGAGTACGGCCAAGTCCCTTTATCAGAGGAAGCAGGCCGCCCTACAGCTGGAGCGGGGAGCCTGCCAGCCCCCCCCCCCCCCCCTCCTGCACCCAGCACGGCCTCCCCAAGGCGAGGGGGGCACCCCTGGGTGTGGCACTGGGGTGTTGGGGTTCCCCCCTGGCGCGAAGCGCTGAGGCCCCGTTGCTGTGGGGCGCCCGGGGTTTGGGGTTTGGAGGAGCCGCCTGTGGAGCGTGCACGCCTATAGGGGTTGTGCTGGGTGCCACGTGATGGGCGGAGGGCTGTGTGAGCCCCAAAGTCCTGGGGACGGGGACATGGTGTGGGGCTGGGGGGTTGGGCCAGGGGGCTCCTCTCTGCGTGCGTGCAAGCTTTGCTGTGCGCCTGGAGCTGGAGGTCTGCTTGGCACGGCTCCTGCAGCACTCGGCGGCCTCCCCAAGGCCGGCAGCGAGCGTTTCCCACGGCTCCGACCCTCTGCAGGGCCTTCCTCCCATTGAGCCGAGGCCTTGGGAGAGAGCAGGAGGGCCAGAAGGGGCACGGAGCAGCCCAAGGGCTCCGGGACTGCTGTGAGTGGCGCTCGCCGTGCAACGTGCCTGCAAGATGCATCCGTGGGCACACGTGTGCTTGCAGGGCGTGCGTGCAGGTGTGTGCATGCAGAGTGCCAAGGTGTGTGGGAATGCACACGTGTGCACGCCGTGGGGGTGTGTGCGGGGCGTGCATGGGTTGCAAGCTGCAGCCCGGCGTGTGTGCGCCCCACAACACAGCAAGCAGGTGCAGGGCTTTGCGTGGAGCTGCCCTGAGATTCCCCACGCGCTGCAGCTTGGGAGGCACAAAGCTGTGTGCACACTTCCTTCGGTGCTCTGTACACCGGGCTGGGTGGGCTCCTGCTGCTGGGGACCCCGGCGCGGTGCCGCTGAGCGCATCCTGCCCGCCTGGTGGCATCTCAGGGCTGTCACCCTGCACACACAGAGCGCCTTTCACCCGCCCGCTGCCCCGGGTGACACTCCGGGCTCTGAAAGGGACAATTGAGCGTGGCTGAGGTCACCCCCCCGGCGTCCCTACCCCGTGCCCATGTCCCCTCCCTGCGGCCCCGGGATGCGGCCAGTGCCCTGGCTGTGCCCTTGGAGAGCTGCGGGGTGCAGAGGGGACACAGAGGGGACACAGAGGGGACACAGAGGGGCATGGCTGCACCCCCGCCGTACTCCCCGAGCCTCTTCAGGAGGAGGGACTGGTGAGTGGGGCTCTGGGGGTCCAGGGGTTCCGCGGCGGTCAGGATGGGGCCGGCACAGGGCAACGTGCCACCTCTGGACCGGGAGAAAGGGATCCCCGTGGGTGCTCCCTCCGTGGGTGAGTGGGCAAACTGCTCGCCCATCCCACCCCCAGAAGACCCAGGTGGGGTTTGGCTGCACCACTCCCTGCTCAGAGGGCACGGCCATGGCACCAACCCCAAATATCAGTGGGGTTTTTTTGGAGGGGTATTCCACAGAGCACCCAGCAACGGGACAAAGTCCTGCTGGGTCCAGAGGGCAGCGATAAGCTCCGGGTGGGGATAGGGAGCAAGGCAAGGGGGCAATGCTAGCCCAGCAGGGTAGGCGAGGGGGGGGGGGGATCATCGCCACCCACAGCTTTAGGGTAGCAACAACCCCCCTCCCCCCCTACGGCTTTAGGGTGCCCTACATGCAGCACGCACACGGTGCTGCTCGACGCTTGCACCCTCTGCGCCCCCCAGGACCCCATGGAGAGCCGGGGGAGGGAGGGGGGTCCGGCAGCCCTGCAGCCCCGAACCCGACCACGGGAGGGGGCTGCCCTCCCCCCCCTCCCCAGCAGCACGGCGGGGTTACGCAAGGGCGGAAGGGGGGGGGGGGAGGAGGCGGGGCGGCCGCGGGTTGTTTTGCGCCCGGGGGTTGTTTTGCCCTCGGGTTGTTGTTCGCTCCCGTTTCTGTTGTGCTTTTTTTTTTTCCTTTTTTTTTTTTTTCCCCTCTCGTTGTTTTGTTCCGAGCCGATCTCGGTTCCTCGCCCGAGGACGCGGTTGTTTTTGCGCTCTCTGGGTTTCGTTTCGCTCTCCGTTTCGCTTTGCTCCCCGCTTTTTCACTTTGCGCACCTTTCGTTTGTTTCGTTTCGTGCGCCCTTTCCCCCTCTGCACCCCCCTTCTTATTTTGCGCATCTCTTTTTGCACGCTCTTCCAATCGGTGCCCCCTTTCTGCACTTCCCTTGGGTTCGCACACCCCTTTCCCTCCGCACACCCTTTCTCCCTACCCCACACTGAGCCCCACACCCCACAGCCACCCCAAACTCGGGGCCCACCCTTCTCTCCGCACCCCAAACCCTTCAGCGCCCCACGTTCGGGGGCGCAGCACGGATCAGGGGAGGAGCGCTGGGCGCACGGAGGAGCCCTTGCAATTAGCGGGCAATTAGCGGGCAGCGCTCAGCATTACCGGGAGCGGCGCTGCGGCGCTGGGGGCGGCCCCCACCCCACTCCCGTGTCCCCGCCCGCCGCCCATATAAGCCAGGGCGTGAGCCGGGCCCCGCAGTGCGCTCCGGACCCGCAGCTGCCCGCAACGATCCGCGCAGCCATGAGCACCGGCGTGTACCACTCCCCCATGGAGGTGGCTGTCTATCAGCTGCACAACTTCTCCATCTCCTTCTTCTCCTCTTTGCTCGGGGGGGACGTGGTCTCCGTGAAGCTGGACAACAGGTAGGGGCAGCCCCTGGGCTCCCATCCCGGTATTTATTGCTCCTCCGAAACGGGGCAGCGTGGAGCATTGACCCCGTGAAGTGGGGAGCGCAGTGCGTTGCTCCCTATGGGAACGGCGCTTTCTGTGTTCCATCCCATTAAGAGATGAGCTTCATTCGTTGCCCCCCATGCAGGGGGGGCTCTCTGCTTGCTGCACTGTTGATGGAGGGGTCGGGGGACGCGCCCCACTGCACGGACCTCGGGGACTTGCTGCTAACGTGCACCTTCCCTGCTTTATTGCAGTGCCTCCGGAGCCAGCGTGGTGGCCATTGACAACAAGATCGAGCAGGCAATGGTGAGCCGCAGCCTTCTGTTATCTTTAGGGCATTGTGGGGGGGGGAGGCCCTGCTCCCGGGAGGTGCCGTGCCCAGCATAGGGGTCCCCCTGCTCCCCAGCCTGTTGCTGGGCAGAGCGGCTCCTTTGTCTGCCTGCAGCTGGCAGTGCTCATTGGCTCCGTCTGCGCCGCAGTGCGCAGAGAAACAGGGGGGGATGAAGGGGGAATGGGGGGGGGTGGGACCCTTCGGGGGTCTTGGGGACTGAGCGAGGCCCTGTGGGTGATGGGGAATTGCAGGCTGCCTCTGCACCCCGAGGAGGGAGGTGATGGATCAGTGAGGGTGATGGAAGGGGGTGCCTTGGGGGTGGGGGGCGGCAGGGTGCAGGGAGATGGGGCAGCTCCATGAAGCATCCCACCAACGGACCCCATCCTTCCCCCCCAACGCAGGACCTGGTGAAAAACCACCTGATGTACGCGGTGCGGGAGGAGGTGGAGGTGCTCAAGGAGCAGATTAAGGAACTGCTGGAGAAGAACTCGCAGCTGGAGCGTGAGAACAGCCTCCTGAAGACCCTGGCCAGCCCCGAGCAGCTGGAGAAGTTCCAGTCACGGCTCCCATCCGAGGTGCTGCAGCCCCAGGAGCAGAGCCCGGAGCCTGCCCCCCCGGCCCAGCACTCGGGGGGCTCTGCGGTGTAAAGTGGCTCTGTCCTTGGGGTGGGCAGAGCCACGGAACTCTTTCTACTTCATCTCCTGCAAACGATACCAAAATAAGCCAAGTTTTTCTGCCTTGGCTCAGAGGACTGCCGGAACCCGGTGCCGGGATGCTCGTCCCTCCGGGAGATGCCGGTGGCTGACCCCCACCTGTCTGCCCTCCCTGCGCTGTGTGGGGCAGAGCTCGCCGAGACCCCGTAGTGCTGAGCATGGGGATGCGGCTGGAAGGAGCGCGCCGAGCCCCAGCGTTGTGGGGGGTGGGGGGAGCAACCCAAACCTGGACTTGAGCAGCTGTTTCGGTTGCACGCACGTCGGCGTGGGGATTACAAGGAAAGAAAGAGAAGAACGACAACCAAAAAGAAAACCAACCCAACCTTGTTTGACTAGAGTTGAGGTGTTTCTGTAGCTGTGTCTATGCGGTGCCCGCTGGATGCTGCGGGCCGGCTGTGCCCTTCTGGGCAGGATTTGAAAGGAGACTGGAATGGCACCAGGGTGGAACTGGGGGAACTGGGTGGCCAGAGGCCCCAAAACGGCCCCGGAATGGGGGATGGCAGCGATGGGTGCTGCGTCCCCCCGCCCCCCCCCTGAGTGATGGGACGTCCCTGCAGACGTCGGACGGTTGGAGCGGTGACGTGGTTGTGTACATTTTTAGGTAGAAATTGCAATAAAGTCTACTTTTTTATAGAAGCACCTGCGCCCGGCTGTGTCTGCAGATGGGGAGGGGGCCGACGGGGGGATGGGGCAATATGGGCTGAGACTGGGGGTGGGATGGGGCTGCTGTTCCCCAGGTGCTGCCAAGCCTTGGGGTTTCGTGGTGCTGCTCCTTTGGGTCAGACCCCTGGATGGGCTCCTGTGGGATTTTGGAGATGAGAGCAGCACTCTGCATCCTATGGAGGGGAAGGTGAGCGGAGCCTGCAGGTCTCAGTGTCCCCATGTGTGCAGGGATGTGCTGGAGGGTCATGCAGGGGGCTGCTCTCCTCCACTGTTGATGCCTTGTAGCACTGAGCGCAAGACTGGACCATCCTGAAACACAGCGTGGGAGACAGAGCTGTGATGGATGTGGACATCCCTGGGGTTGCCCTGCGGCCGGCAGGGATGGGGTTTGAGATGGATGCAGCATAGCGGGGTGGGTGCAGCACCTTCCTCTGGGGGTGTGCCGTGGGGTTTGTGCCGTGCCGACCGCATCCTGCCGCCTTTTGCCGTGGCTTCAGGCCTCACTCACTGCGGTGAGGGCGGTGCAAAGCCAATCTGCCATGAGTCACAGCGGGGCTGGGGACAGTTGGTGCCAAGGAAACGCTGGTAAACACCAAAACACAGAGCCACGGAGCACGGAACGCTGATGAGGTGTCCGTCCTCTCCCTGCTCCCCACGCCATCCCAGGGCTGGGACCCTACTCTGGGCAGTGCCACAGCCCTGCAGGTGCACACACTTGTGCAAGTTTTCCCCCTGCTGTGTGCATATCTATGCTGGGCCGTCCCTGTATACAGGAGTGAATTTGGGATGTGGGGATGGGGCACGGTGCTCAGTGTCACCACACCCCACCTCTGTCCCCCACCCTCTTGCAAGGGGCGGCTGGGTGAGTGGGCAGTGCCTGACCCCCCCCATCCCGCTCAGCCCACGCACCCCAAAACCACTTTCCCAGCTACGCCTCCCTCCCATCCCTTTCCCCCCCTCCCCATCATGGGCAGAGCACTGGCAGCATGGTGTGACACTGGGACAGCCAATGGCACGGGCAGAGCAGCCACAAACCCCTCCCTGTGGCTGGCAGGGCCTCCCCCCCCCCCCCCATCACCCGCTCCTCCAAGATCGATGTCCCCTCGCCTTGCAGTGTGGGCTGTGACGAAGGACTCTTCCTTCCTAGGGACAGCCACGCATGTCACCCCCCTCCCCATGCTGGGGATCTATGGGATTGCTGCAGCCCGGGCAGCAAAGGGTGAAGGTGTTGCGTCAGGAAGTCTCTAAGAAACGGTCGATTTGTTGAAAATGTAAAAATAACAGAAGCTGCTGCTGGGCTGAGCGGGGTTTTCCCAGCGTGGGGAGATGCTGGCACGGCCCATGGCAACTGTGCCCCAACCACAAGGCACGGCGCGGGCAGCCCCACATCTGGGGTGTGGGGTGGGGGAAGGGATGGGAATGGGATGGAAGGGGTTTGGGGGAGGGAATGAGGACAGGGAGGGGATGTGGCTCGGGATTGGGATTGGGGGTGAGGGTGGAGAAGGTGATGGGATGGAGATGAGGGTGGTGGGTTTGGCAGGTGGTTGCAACAGGGATGGGAAAGGGGATAGGATGGGATGGGATGGGTGTTGGCATGGGACAGTGATGAAGAGGGGATGGGCTAGAATGGGAATGGGATAGAGATGGGGATGAAATCCCCTGGCAAGCCCTGAGTGCTCACAGTGAGCCTCCAAGGCAACCCCAGGGACCTCTGGGGGGCTACAAGCCACCCCAATGGCTGCTCCGTGCAAAATCCTCTTCCGTGGTTTAAACCAGCAAGGGCTGAGGGAGGGCTGGCATTACAGACGAGGAGGGAAGGATGCTGAGCAAGGGCACGGCTTACAGCAGAAGGAGGAGAAAAGTGCAGGGAGACGTGATTGCCTGAACGCTGCCCGAGTTAATGGGCTCTATTTGGGGAGATAAGGGGCCGTGAGCTGTAAACCTGCCCAGGAAAGCCGACTTCCTCATTCCTGAGCAGATAGGAAGATGCACAGAAAGGCAAACAACACCGGAGCAAATTGCTCGATGACAAACAAGGACCTGAGGTCCAGACGGGTGACCCAGGGGACACACAGGGCTCCGGTGGGGGCTCTGTGCAGACGCTTCCACCCCGGGGACCGTGGCGTAATGAATGAGCGATGCGAGTGCCAGGGATTAGCCAGGATTTAGGGGCCTGTGGGACCCGGCCAATTTGGTTTAATTGATCATTAGAAGCAGCGTTAATCCCTGGGAAAATCAGTGTGGGAAAGGCAGGCGCCTGGGAGGACTTGGCCGAGGTGTGCAGGAGCGCAGGAGGCAGCTCCTCTCCTTCACCACGCTCCAGCCAGAGCCACCCCAAAAGGCACCCGACCCCCAAACCCCACTGCAGTGCAGTGCGTGCTGCTGGGCTGGGTTACTCATTCTCCAGAGGAGACCTTTGGACTGCACAAAGCGTGCAGAGAACCGGGGCTGCCATCCTGTCTTCTGACACCACGGGTGCTCGTTTTGCAGCAGCGCATCGGTGGGATGCAAGCAGCGTGGGTTGCATCCCGGGAAGCTCCCATCATTAGGAGATCCTAACAACTTCCCAGCAGCACAGGTACCGCTCGAGTGCTCCTCATGAGCGTCCCCAGAGCATCTCGGAGTGTCCCCACAGCACCTCCATCCCCATGCTGACCCCACACCAGCACACAGGACCCGCCGGCGCGCCGGCTGCCGGCTTCCTCCCAATTAACCCAATTAATCTCGCAGGGCTCCAGCCATGCAGCAGCTCTGCAGCCGCCGCCGCCGCCTGGCTCTCCCTGCCCTCCCATCCACCTGTGTTGTGTAACATGGGGATGAGAACAAGGCAGAGCCGTGCTGTGCCTGTGAAGCTGCCGCCCAGTGCCATCCCGCTGTGCCCAGCAGCTGTAGCAGCCACTGGAGTGGCACATCAAAGTCCTCCCGGCTCAGCTACCCCAACCGGCAGCAGGGATTTGGCTGGGAGACCTGCAGGGATGGGGCTCGGCATCCTCCTGCTCTGAGCATCCCTGCTGTGGGTTGGCCATGTGGCATGGGCTGGTGACAGAGCGTGGCATGACGTGGGGACGCGAGGGATGCGGTGCCTGCAGTCTGTGCACGAAGGATGGATGCAGAGCACAGACCCATGCGGATGGGATGATGCTCTGAGCTTCCCATGCACTGAGAACCCGTGAGCTCCAGCTCAGCATCCCTGTGCCAAAGGGTCAGAGATGCTAAAGGCCAGTGTGGGGAGCAGAGCGAGCAGAGCTTTGGGGAAGTCGCTGACAGTTGTCTCTATGCTGGTTGTCAAGGGACAGAAACCAGGGTGTAGAAAGAGCCTGAGTGACAAAACATGAAGCCACCAGCTTGGGGAGATGGGGTAATTATTGTGATTGTTGTGATGACAATCACTGTTGTTACCATCACAACAACAGCTACTGCTTGCTGGAACTGCACCAGGGCTGGCATCAGTGCGACCAGCACAGCGGTGGCACCCGGTGTCCCTGCAGGTGGGTGCTGTCCTCCAGGAGCTGCCCCCAGCCCTCAGCACCCCCTGCATGCTGTGTCACCACCCTGCACTGCTGCTTCCCACCCCAACCCATTCCCAAGCCACTCCAAAACCAGAACGTTTTCTTTCTTCCCATTTCCACTTTTATTCATTTCTTTACTGGTGATGATTTACAACCAAAGCCAACAGCCTGACTGACCCAAACGCTGAGCCTCTGGCTTGGGATGCCCCACAGCCCCCAGCAAGCACAGAAGCAGCCCTGCATCAATGCAACCAACACCACTTGTTTGCTCCCCTCACTCCGCTCTGCGCCTCTCCAGGTGTTTGCAATACAGATGACGTTTGCCACTTGCAACGTGCCAAGTCCTGCAGGGGGAATAATGGAGTCTGCAGCTCTCCATGCCCTTCCAGGAAGGGCTGCGGATGCTCCGGGCCACGCTGCTCACCCTGCTACCATGTTTGGGTGTTTTTGTGGCCAGCTGCTGACTCAGAGCCGCTCGCAGGCGGTGTTTACACGGCCGTGACGGAGGCAGTGCTGTGGCTGTGCCCATCCTGGCCGCAGGGCTCGTGCCGGTGACATTGAGGGACTGCCTTTCGCAGCTCCAAAGTGGGTCATCCGCTGGCTGCCTGCAGGCAGGATCTGCCCAGCGACTTACTGTTCCCATCCCCATTCCCAATGGCACGCAGTCCCTGTGCCCGTGGCCACGTTCCCGTCACGCCGCAGGCATCCCGCGTGCCTCCGCAAGCTCGTGCCATCGGGGCTTCTTGACAACTTCTCGACAAGCACCAGTCAGCAGGAAAGGCATCCCAAGCCTGCGGGGAACCCAGGGCAGTGGGATCCACCTGGGGCCCTGCGCGTTTTGGGTGGGAAGATCCCCAAAGCGGGCTGCTCCTCCTCGTCGTCCCCTTCGTGAGCAATGGGAAGCAACCCTCCCTCCATCCTGCCCACACCCGGTGTTCCCCTTCCCACACCCATATGCTTCATAGCCCGAAATAGCTGGAAAAGGCCAAAAATAACCCTCACCGTGCCCTGGGGAAGGCGGAGGAGCGCGTGTAAGCATAGGGAAGGACTGTCCCCAAACACAGCCCTCAAATCCATGCCCTGTGGGTGCAGTCAGAGCACGGCTGCCTCCTCCTGCTGACACACAGCCCCACGCAGCCTGCCCGCAATGTTTGGGGCTGTTTGCTGCCCGCTGCCCGGCTACCAGCTGCTGAATCACCGTGCATCCTCCCCACGAGCAGGAAACCCGCTGTCAGCTCTGCCACGGGCGCCCCACAGCTCACAGCTCTTTTTGGGACCGGGGAGATGGCGACATCTCAGCCTCCCCAATCCCAATCCCAAACCCACCAACACCAGCCCTCCTCCCCTAGGAGGAAGGAGCCATGCTGTTCTCCCTCCGTTGCCGCTATGGGGCAGCCCCACAGCCCCGCTCTGCCCCCCAGGCTGCAGCATCTGGAAGGGATCAGTGCTGTGGATGAAGGGAGG